CCCCAGAAAGGATCATGGCCGCTGACCCAATTCCTCGACAATCTCGCCACACGGCTCTAAACTCGGCTCAGCTGCTCAACCAAAACCTCTAGGAACCGCAGCTGGGCCCCTGCTGGCAGAACCACTGGGTCAGAACCGGCTGGGACAGCCCTCAGACTGGTGTCTGGTACCAGAACCAGACCAGACTGGTTCTCTAACCTGTGCTCCCCCTCAGAGACCGGAGGAGTGTGCATCGCCCCCCGACCCGCGGCGCTGCCATCGTTCCTCGGCATCCAGCCGGTTCTGATGGGAGACCAGGTGAGGCCCGGTTAGAGTCTGGTTCTGTTTGTTCTGATTGATCAGCCTGGAGGTTCTGGGAGAGTCAGAGGAAGGGTTCTGGAGATCCGGAACGTGGCTCTGAGCCTCCTGCCTGAGCCGGTCCGACTGAATGGACAGAACCAGAACTGCAGCCGTGGTACTTGTGATGATGATCCTGGTGCAGTCCAGCACCGGTTCTGGACCAGGTTAGGGTTGGGTTGCTGTGGGAAGGAGCAGCAGAACCTGTTTGGATCAGAACCTTTCCCTGATGACTCAGCCCGGTCTGGGAGTTCTGAGAAGTCCAGAACTCCAGAACCATTTCTGACCCAACTGGTTTTTGGAGTTTTTTATGGTTTCAGACTCTGGTCGATGTTTGGGTTTTCTGACCCGGTTCTCTGGGTCAGAGGTTTTGGGTCGGTTCTGTTGGTTCTTCTCTCTGATGCGACTGTTTGGCTCACTTCCTGTTGTTTTATTCTGTCTCCTGAACCATCTGACCCGGTTCTGACCCGGTTCTGCCTCTTGTTCTGATCCAGTTCTCTCTGGCTGCCAGCTGGTTCCTGTGCAGCCCAGTCAGGACCAGAGCCCTGACTGGACTCTGGTCCAGTCAGGGCTGACCCATGTGACCCGGTCCGGTCGGTGCCGCTGCAGCATCTGGTGAATCAGCTGATCTGGAGGTTCTTCCTCCTCATCATCATCAGGGCAGCAGATTAGATTAGATTAGATTAGATTAGATTAGGCCCCGAGACGCAGCCACACCAGAACCAGAACTTCTTCCATCTAGACCGGTTCTGTCGCCGTCTGAAGGCATCTCCAGGCAGGACCTCAGCCGGGTTCTGGTCAGATGGACAAAACCCGTAAGGAATAAAATCAGCTAATTGGTTCAGAGGGGTACCAGTTGGGTCAGACCGGTCCGGACCGACCCAGCAGCAGCTGCTAGTCACCAGTTAGCTCAGATCTAAATGTTAGCACTGCCTGACCCCAACAACCTTCCCTGATGTTCCTAATCAAAGTCCGGAAAGGAATCCGCCGACTCTCGTCTCCCCAATCAGAACCAACATGCAAAGTTGTAGAAACTTTAACAGAACCAGAACCGGGTCAGCTCGTTGAACTGGTCCAGAGATAAATGAATCAGGAAGCAGAACCTCCTGTTGGGTCGAAGGAGGTTCTGAAGTCCTGAGGTTCTGACTCGGTGTGAACGTGGAACAGCAGCGCCCTCTGGTGGCCGCTGGACTGAACGGAACCGGACCTGTTCTCCGTTTGCAGGACGAACATCCAGCGGTTCCAGAATCGGCTGTGGTCGAACATCAAAGAAGGTGAGACACACCTGGGCCCTTTCACAATAAAAGCCTCCTCTGGTAGAAACAGAACTGGCCTGAGCCAGCTGGCCTAGTTCTGTAGAACCTTAGCTTAAAGGTAAACTGAACCTGTAGTTAGAGGTTTTGCTGCCCCCTCAGAACACTCAGTGCAGCTTCAAGTCACACAGACAGAACTGAGAGTTTCTGATGGGTCCAGTTGGGCCCAGTTTAAACTTCAGGTTTGACCCTCCGTCTAAATCAGGGGTCCCCAAGCTACGGCCCGCCTCCTCATTTGGTCCGGCCCCCTGAACAATACCAGAGAGCATTCAGATTTTTTTTTCATATATATGTGGATTTTTCTTCACCACCAGGGGAGCTCTTGAGAAACTTAGTTTCCTTCAATGGAATATATACTAGTCAGTACCAGTCACCGTTTCGCTCACGGTTTTTTTTCCATGTGCATTCTGGGTAAAAATCTATCTACAAACGCGAATATGTCGTCGGCAGTAATCCAATCCCCCCCGGCAACAAAACTTTTCTAAGGTTTCTTTCTCGAAAAACTAAGACCGGCCCCCGACCAGAAAAGGGAACAGTCATGTGGCCCTCGCAGGAAAAAGTTTGGGGACCCCTGCCCTAAACCGCTGTTGCCTAACTTACCTTAGTGACAGAGGTGCTACAACAAAAACAATACTTGTCCTTAAAAGGAACCACGACTAGTTATAAAAATAGACCTTATTTTGGAAATATTCATCTTAGATGTAAAAACAATACAGTAATAGTACTGTAGGTTATTTAGTTTTTATACATTTTAATAAAATATTGTCAGGATTGTCGCCATGTTTTTCACACTGCAATGCATTCTGGGTAAATGACGTGTAGTTCAACTGCCTGGCTCCAGCCAAAACAGTGATCTGTAACTTTATTAGCCTTTTTAATTGGAACCGGAGCGCATTGAAAACGATCGGAACATAGAAATAACAAGAGACGATGAGGAGGAGGAGCAAACAGAGGAAGAGGAAGAGCTGGCCATAGGAGCTGTGAATGAGACTCACCTCTGGTCACTGTGTGATCCGGTCAGTACTTCTGTAGCTCTGAGTCCAGGGAGGGTAATTTTACTTGTATAGCACATTTTCAGCAACAAGGCAATTCAAAGTGCACTAAACTGTCAGTGTTTGATATTTTGAGGCATAAATATATTTACTTTGTTAAAGTAAACAATATTCCACTATAAGGATTATTTATTTTATTCTTTGCCATTTTAACAAAAATAGTAAAATATTAAGGCACCTAAAAAGGCACACTTTATTAGTCTAAAATATACACTGAGATGTAATTGAAAACATACTGAAATTTTAGTATATTTAATAGTTTACTTTTCAAGAAAGTGTTAAGTGAATTTAAAAAATATATACTGCTCAAAAAAATAAAGGGAACATTTCACTTTAATTTTGTGTGTGGCTCCAAATCCAGGCCTCCATTGGTTAATAAATTTGATTTCCATTGATGATTTTTGTGTGATTTTGTTGTCAGCACATTCAACTTTGTACAGAACAAAGTATTCAATGAGAATATTTCATTCATTCAGATCTAGGATGTGTTATTTGAGTGTTCCCTTTATTTTTTTTAGCAGTGTATATTTTGAGCATATATTTTACAATATACACAAAATATCTATAAAAGCATGTTTCATTACTTGAGCAAATACATATTTTGTTCACTTAAAGTATACTTTTAATTTCTTAAAAGTGTATTTTGGTACAATTAGATTTAAGTGTTTAAAGTTATGTCAAAATTGGTACAAACATGCTTTTAGTATACTTTATATGTAGTACACTTGATACTTGGACTACTTACAGAAGTAATACAAGTATGTTTGAAATATAAAAGTATTTTGTTTTTCACTTGGGCAACGCTGACAGTCTGGGGAATGAAAATGTTTTCTATAAAACAACGTTCACTTCGTGATACGACTGAGAAAAATTTAACTTTTAAGAAAAAATCACATTTTCTTAGACGCATCATCTCATTGTGCCTTAAGATTTAGCTATGCAACATTTCTCAGGATTTGGAAGCAATTATTTCATTCCATGTTTGAGATGTTTTGTTGGAAATCATCGAGCTGCCTAAACCTCAAACGTTAGAAACGCTGAATGAGTTCATTTCATTTTGATGTCTGGATCTCCGTCCCACATCTGGTCCAAACCATCAGCATTAACCGACATCCCTGTCGAAGCCAAGAGCCCCCCAAAAACATAGAACATATGGAGCTAAATTAGTGTCACAAAGCATACACGATTTGTCTGTGTGTAACATGATGCATAAATGAGCATAACGCAACGCTTAAGATTCACTCATAAAAACCACCAGCTGCACACCGATCAGCTTCTTCTGTTTTTGATGAGACTTTCTTACCCTGTGGGATTTGCAGGTGAGATGATGTGTTCAAGGCCGGTGGGACATCCTGAAACATCCTGAGGAACCTGCTGTGCAGGTTTAGGGAAACTGGGAGGCGGAGCTTCATTTAAAATATTTTATTTGTTTTAAAATATACATCATCGTTTCAAACTGAGAAAATAAAACCAGTTTAACAGTCAGAGATTTCTCTGGAGAAGAAACCGCTGAGGTCTGCCAGGTGAGAGCAGCACCTGGAGGAGGCGGGGCTAAAGTCCCCCGATCAATGTCCACCTGACCCCAGGTGAGTCGGCTCCGAGGGTCCATGTGAGCTTCATTCAGCGTCAGAGTGGGAGAAAAACACTGATGGCACCTGAACGCATCAGCAGACGCCCGAACGCACCACCTCACTTCATGCCAAGTTTAATTCAGGTTCTGATGGTTCTGGAGAATCTCCATGGAGACCAGGTCAAAGGGAGACTATAAAATGAGTCAAACTGAGTTTTGACCTGCAGACCGACTCCCAGAACCAGAACGTCCCGACCCGGATCACTAACTGAAGTGGTTCTGATGGAACTCGGGTCAATCGATTCATACGTGGCTGAACCGGATCATTCTGGTGCCGATCAGATGAATTTCAGTCTGATTGTTAATATATGTATTAATCTCAGAAAAAGTTGAAACAGATCTTTGACATATTGGTTCAGGAGAACAGGAAGGTTCTGGTTCCTGTTGGCGTTCCTCAGGGTCGTGACCTTGGTCCTCTGCTGAGGTCAGTGGATCTGATAACATTCTCAGAACCAATCCAGAACCAAAGGTTATGGTCCAGAAGTTTCTGATCCTTCATCAGGCTGAATAATTAAATCTGAGTGACGATCAACAGGAGAAATAAAGTCCATAATCAGGAGGTCAGAGGTCAAACAGATGAAAGGGGGTAAAAATGAAGAGGAGGAGTGATGAAGGTGAGCCTGGCTGGTAGAGTTCATGAGGAAGAGTCATTAAAGATGGAGGAAGGACACACACACACACACACACACACTCTCGTCTTTGAGCCTCATGGGGCTCTTGACATATTAAGCACACAGTCAGATGGGTCTATGTGTCTCTGTGAGGACCTGCAGCTGAAGTTCTGCTGTTTCTGGTTCTAACCCAGAAACAGCTCAGGTTCAGACTGGACAGAACCTCCTGCATGTAACCTGGTGGCTCACAGCTGACCCAAAACCTCAGAACCGAACCAGACGGAAAAGAGTGAATAATTCAACAGCAGCTGATGAAGAGGAGGGTCCGATGTCTCTGCAGCAGAACCTGAAGGAGTCTGGATCGGTTTTGTTTGGATCAAAAGGTTCTGGTTCTTGCCTACAGAACCTGAAACCAGGTGCAAGTTGCAGCTCTGGTTCTGGTACTGGAACCGGTTCTATCCGGGCTGAACCCTCAGAGTGAACAGAGGTTCTGATCAGATCTAGACAGGTAAACGGACCCAAACGGTTGAAGTGCAAAGTCGTAACTGGGTCAGAGCCGCCGGGTTGTTCCAGAACCACAGACTGAAACAGCAAACATTCAACCAGAATCAAAATAAACCAAATATTTAAGTTTTTATGAAAATAATTTCTGAACGTTCAAGACAGAAACAACTCTGGTGAGAGACGGAACATTCAGTGATGGATCCGGCCAGAACCGTTCATCAGAACATTCAGTGATCAGCTGGTCGGTCCAGTGAGCCACAGTCAGCGCTGTGAGGAGGCGGGTCCACATTCGGACCGGCTGAGGAAGCCCTGAGGTGCCAAAAACAGAGCTGCACTTCCTCCCGTCACCACCAGGAGGAGCTCCAGCCGTGTTTTGGCACTAACAGGATGCCGTAGAATTATAAATAAAATCAAACTCAGTGATGACCAATCAGAACGTCAGGTTTACAAAATGGTGATGTTACATTCCAGGTGAGCTGGAGCTCCGCCCACTGCCCCGCCCCCCGTGAGACAATCTGTGTATGGGGTGGAGGGGCGGGGCCAAACACCAGCCAATCACCTGCCTGGACACGTGACAGGAAACCAGCAGCTACAGATGTCAAAATAAAAGCCTTTAAGTTGAGCCCAGTGTCAAACTCACAACCTCTGGGACAGGAAGTGATGGAGGCACTGAGAGTCCGAGCGTGTCCAATTTGTTCTTTCAAAATAAAAGCATCTGTTTGGGAAACGAGATATTTCTGGGTTTCCGAGATCGATCCAGAACCGGTCCGATCATCAGAAATCGGGTCAGGCTGGCCCTAAGGTCAAAGTTCACCTTCTAACACTGATGACAGTTTCCTGATGGTGACGTTGCATCACAAAACAGGAAGTAAAAACATTAACCAGGGGGACACCTGGTGGAGCGGCTCCGGGTCGCCGACCCCCAGGGGTCAAATTAAAGGATGGCCGGTTTTTCAGCATCCTGTCTGTCTGTGTAAACAGGAAGTGAAATTGCTCAGCTGATGGAAGCCAGGCGGCATGCTCGGCAGCGTACGTCAGGTATGGCTATTTCCTGGGCGTGGCCTGTGGCCGGGTTTCCATGGCAACGGTCAGTCCAGCAGCGTGCCTTGCTCTTGGGCCCGGGTCAGGCTGTCCTTGCGGTGCAGGTGGTGCACGCCCATCCTTTTGGGGCTCCTCATTGGCCGCTGCAGGCCGGGGGCGGGGTCGAACTCCAGGAGGCGGGGCGAGATGTTGGGCAGCTCGCGTGGAAGAATGTCTCTCTCTTCGGCTGAGCTGTCGTCCTCCTCCGTCTTCCCGTGGGCGTCTGCGGTCGTCACGGTGACGGCGGTGTCCGCGCTGCCGGTTTCGTCCTCCAGGTCCATCAGCAGCTCCGCCTCCTCGGGGCCGTTCCCGCCGCCGTAGCGCCTCCTGCCAGACTGCGGTTCCGTGTCGGTGTCCGTGTCCAGACTGGAGCCGCGGCTCGGTGTCCAGCTGCGGGCCGATGAGCCTTCCTCTCCGTCCGAGTACGCCGCCCTGTGACGCTCCGAGCCGGCCCCGCCCCCTGCCGCCTGCCGTCGCCTCTGCAGCTCCTGCGCCGTCTGGCTGCTGAACGACGTGCGGTGCATCACGGAGCCCTCGCTAGAGGGCGCCATCTTCTCCACAAACATCCGCTGCCAGTTGGCGAGCAGATCCTCCTCGGAGCTGGCGGAGCTGGCCGGGACGCTCGGTGCCTGCAGGGTCATGTGATCAGAGGTTAGCATTAGCATTAGCCTGGGCCAGGAGACCAACAGAACTTCTGGTTCCACCTACAGGTTCTACAAATCTCCTTTTCAGGTTCTGTTAAGGATTCTGGAACATGGGTCAGACCCAGGGTTCTAGAACCGCCACAGCTCCAGAATAAATGGTTCTGCTAAAAGTTCTGGACTCTTCAGAGGTTCTGCTTAATGATCCCTGAAACTTCTGGAACCCCAACATCCTTGGTTCTGTTGTGGGTCCGATTGGGTCTGGAGTCGATACAGACCCTCGTTTGGTCTGACGCAGATCCACTTTAGTCCAAACCGCCCCTACGCTTCCTTACTTGATTCTGCTGGAGGTCCGACTGGGTCAGAAAAATCAGGGATCCCTGGACTCCCCTGAAGGTTATCATGGTACCTGAAGATTCTGGACCCATCAGACCAGCCCGGTACAGTCACAGAACCAGAACCAGACCTCCATCATCGAGCCCGTATTCTAACCTGATCTTTGATTGGCCAGCTGCTGTGTGGGTGGGCGGGACTTACCTGCGGCGGGCTGCTGAAGGGACTGGACTGGGCAGAGAGCGGCTCGCTGGCAGCGTCTCGCTGTGACGGCGGCGTGTGCTGGTTGGCTCTGCCCCCGCCCCCGGATGAGGAGGAAGGGGCGGGGCTTCCGGGGCCGACCCGCTCGTCGTCGTTCTGGACGAGGCTGAGGGAGATGGCCTGCCTCGTGGCGTAGGTGCAGTTGGGCAGCGGCGAGTTCTTGGGGATCTTCACCTTGTCGTCGGATGAGAACTCGATGACCTTGCGGCCCGGGTAGAGCGGGTGAGGCGGCGGCGGCGGGTACGGGTTGAGCTTCTCGAAGGCTGGCACCCCGCCCGCCTCCTCGTCCAGGCTGCTCTGGCTGCGGCAGGAACCGTTGTGCTGCGTTGCCTCCCGGCTGGCGCTGTCCTCCCGAGCCTCGGCGCCGGCCGGGTCAGTCATGTCCACGTGGACGAAGACATCCTCGGCCACCGGCCGGCCACAGCTGCTGGACTGGGCCGAGTTCAGAACCAGCGGCTCAGGTTTCTCCAGGACGCGGGCGATGACGGAGGTCGGCACGACATCGGCGTGCGTCAGGCTCAGGGTGTCCGGGTCCTGGCCGCTGGGGGCAGGGCTTCGCTCCGGGAGGCTGGACTTCATGTGCTTGTTGAGCATTTCCTGCAGCTCCGAGGGCAGCTGGACAGGAAGGAGGAAAATAATCCATTCATAGAATGACAGCAATAATAACAGAAAACATAAATCTGAACAGTTTCCAGGAAGCTGAGGCTGATGGACGAGCTGCAGCCATTAACGCCATCGATCGATCGACCAATAGATCACTTCCTGCTGCAGAGCAAACTTCCAGCCAATCAGGACAGAGGAAGTTAGAAACCTTCCCGGGTCCAAACTGCAGAACATCTACTAGATTATCATTCAGAGATCGATCCTCTGACAGATCCTCTGATCAATTCGCCATCAGCTCAAACATAAATCAAACATGATGGAGAAAATGGATCATCTATGAATCTCTGTAGAACCAGGACCAGTCTGGTTCTCCAGAACCTGTTCTCGGTCCAGTCAGCAGCTTCTGGGTCTGGTGGTGAGGAAGATGAGGCTGAACTCATCATCATGTTGTTAATGGCCGCCTTCAGTCAGAGCTCCGCCCACAAAGTCACAACATCACCATTTATGGCAACCACTGCTGCAACAGTTGACCACAGGACCTGACCAGAACCAGCGTTTAGCCGCTAGCTGTTAGTTATCAGCTGCTAGTTGTTAGCTAAGCTGTTAGCCGCTAGCTGTTAGCAGTCCTTCTAAGACCCACTTCCTTTGTGAATCCGCCTCCATAGCGTTTCTGGATCAGATTCCTTCTGAACTCCTGAAAAGTCCAGGAAACTTCCTGTCTGGTTTTCAGATGTTTCCAGAAAACGTCTAGGAAACGCAGGATGAGCTCTGATTCATGAAAACCAACGGGACGTTTCTGAGTGTCCTGGTAGGACCACAGTCTGAAACCCGTTTTGTTGAGTCCTGGTTGCTGTTTATGAAGCTGCTGAATGATTCAGAACCGCCTCCTGGGCTCTGCTGAGACCCAGAGCCGTCTCAGGTACTTACGTCAGCAAACTTGTGGTTCCTGAAGTGGGATTTGTTGCATTTGAGTAGCTGAACGGCCAAGTTGCAGTCCTGCCTGTAGCGCTCCTGTACACACACACACACACACACACACACACACCTCGTCATGTGATGCAACAGGAACAGGGTTCTACAGGAGAGGAGCTGCTTCTCTACATGAACTAAACAATAAACACTTAGAGTCAAAAGAAAACAACCAAGTCTGATGAAAACATGAGAGAGCCAATAGAAACCCAGATTTAACCTGACAGCCAATCAGAGGCCAATGTGGCTTCCATGGAAACTCGTGACAGCAAGTTCTTACATTGAGCTCCTCCAGGCGGTCGATGGTGTTCTTAGCATCCAGAAGTTTGTTGGTGAGCTCCACAATCTCCTGGTCCATCGTCTTTTTGTCCCTCTCCACCTTCCGTAGCTGCAAGCAGATGACATGTTGGAGCCAATCAGAAGGCAGCGCTGTTAGTGGGCGGGCTTTGCGTGGACCAATACATTCAGATCATGTGGGAATAAGAGTTAGCTCCTCTCAGATCCGAACCCCTGCATGGGAACGCTCCATTTTTCCCAGATCATTTGAATGCTGCGTTAGCGAGCAGCGTTGCCTCCTGCATGATGGGATGCAGCGCCACAAGATCAATACGATCTGATTGGATATTGATCAAAGCATCAAAGCTGAAAAAAATCTGTTTAATAATCTGAATCTGCCCAAAGCAAACGAAGTTCAGTGAGAGCGCCAGCGCCGTGGCTCGTCAGCGGATCATGACGTTCTGCCAGGACCAAGGATGACCTTTGACCCCAAATTCTAAACTGGCATCTAACTCACAACAACTTCTCACTTCTGTCTGGTTATGGTAAAGGTAACATTTCTGTTAGCAAGTTGAAGCTAAGGTTATGATTATATTAATGTAATCCTAATACCACTAGCTAAAGATAAAGCTATGCTAACATTAGCATGCTAAGATTACATTAACCCTAACAACAGCATGCCAGAGTTAGGAAAAGATCAAATTAGCATGCTACGATCTTGCCAACCGTAACATCAACATGCTTAAGCTAATGTTATGCAAATAGTAGCATGCTAAGATGTTAACCCTGTCAGCATGTTAAATCTAAAGTAACATTAATATTAGCGTGCTATAATGCTAACATAAACATCAGCATGTTGTAGGTAAGGTTATGCTAGCATTAGCATGCTAAGATGGCAACACTATTGTCAACATGCTACAGCAGGGGTAATGTTAACATTTGCAAGCTAAAGCTAAGTTAACATTAGTAGTAGTATACAGCAGCTAAAATTGGAATGTTAAAGTCAGCCTTCTAATGCTGCGTTAATGCTAACAATAGCATGCCAAGTCTAAGTCCTTAAAGTGGACCTACTTTTATGAGTTGATATTATTTCAGAATAAAATGCGTCTGAACGAGTCCATCTGGCAGAACCAGAACCGTTCTGACCCATCAGACAAGCGACACGTTAGCAGTTCGTTTCACACCTGAAGCTGTTCAGGTGGAACCAGCAGCAGACATGGAGGAGAAGGACTCTGATCGAACGCCAGGTCCAGCTACAGGTCGGCCGGGTTAAAGTTCGACCCAGAAAGTTCTGAATCGTTCTGGATATTTCAATGTTTGGCTCTTAACGGCCGACTGTGGAGACGTGGTGTTCAAAAAGAGAGGAAGAGGATGGAAGGATGAGAATGAATGAAACCCAACTGCATGAACCCAAGTCTGACTGACGGCAGCCTGAGGAGGATGAGGATGAGATGAAGATGAGTCCATCAGAGCAGCGTGAGGAAAGAAGAGATGAAGAAGAGTGGTCAGACATCATCATCATCAGTTCAGCACAAACGTCACAGCAGAACCATTTGATCCTGTCAGAACCGCCTGCTCTCAATGCGAACCTTTGGATCCAGAACTGTGAACAGAACCGGCCTGAACTCGGATCAGAGAAGGTTCTGTTTCGCTCCAGCTTCCCAGTTTGAGGAAGCAGAGAAGAATCTGGACCAGAACCTCTGGATGTCCGGCCCGTTTCTGTTGTGACCCGAAACCTTTGGAGGCTCCGCCTGTATGGACCAGATCAGAACCAGCAGCTATTTCTGGGCTCAGCGTGATGCCGGCCACCGAGCGGTTTTAGTTTAAGCGGGTCGACGCCGATGAACCTGCCCGACCCAAACATGGCAGCTTCTGTAGCAAGATGCACCTGGAGGAAATCCCAGCAGATCCTCCTCCAGGTCTGGACTATCACCATGGCAACCAGCCGGCCATCAGTAGAGGCTTTCCCAGCTGATCGATATCCTCACTAAGGATCAATGAGCTCCACTCATTACTAATGAAGTCAGCCAGGCGACCAATCAGGAGGCTCGTTACACGGCCGTCAGCGCGACGCAACAGGAAGCACAGGAAATACCGACGGGATGGAGCGCCAAGATCTGATGCCGCGCAGCATCAACGCATCAGAGCTTACCAGAGCGTGCAGCTTCTCCTCCAGGTCTTGATTGGCTCGCTGCGACGCCGTGTAGCTGTTCTGGAGTCTGCAGGAGAGGTCAGAGGTTAGATGTCATCAGCAGGTCCTACTGACCCACCAATAATGGAGGTCTGGGTCAGAACAACCAAGACTGAACCGAGTCCTAGTAGACGGATCCGGATTAGTTCAGTCCAACAATCAGAACCTCGTTAACTCAGCAGACCCTAACCGCAACCAGGCTAACGCTAACATACTGCTAACATCACCAGGCTAACGCTAACATACTAACATCACCAGGCTAACGCTAACATACTGCTAATATCACCAAGCTAATGCTGATGTAGGACAGTGCTTTACATATGTCAGCACATGTCACCAAAATGTTAGATTTGTTCTTTGGGTTGTGGAAGTTGGTAAAGTGTGTCCGTTGAAGGACGCCAGTATTTGCTGTGAATTCTGAAGGTAAGCAATACTGACCGCCAGCTCCTCACTGTAGCCAAATGTTACTTTTAATGTCCAAGTAGTTAGTTTTGTTTCATTTTTTTTTTCTTTTTTATGTTGTATCTGTAAACAAAAAAATAAAAATAATAATAACTGCGTTAAGCCGCTGCGCTGTCGGCTGGTCCGAATAAACGGTCTGAACCTCGATCTCAACCGCCGTGTGTGTCCGATTCCTGCCTCAAGTTTCCTTCCGACAACCATTAAAGAAAACACAACGCAGAGTCTAAGGAACAGTGAGGTGTCATCTCACACGGACAGGGTTACACTAACATACTGCTAACATCACCAGGCTAATGCTAACATCAATAAGATAAAACTTATATAATCCTAACATTACTATTAACATTACCAGAAGGCTAACATCACCTGGCTACGTTCTGCTAGCAATGTAACTTAGATGAAAGTATCAATGATTATTCATCATATTAATGCAATAGCACACAAGCACATTCATGTTATAACTGTAATAATATCATAATGCTGATGTCAGTCTGTTTATGCCAACATCAACAAATTATGCCCTCTGCTAAGGCTAATATGTCATGCTAAAATAACACCAATATCTGCGTACTTAAGCTAACAAAATACTTTGAGCTACTCCAAAATGCTGAGGTCAATGTGAAGCTAACATCAGCAGGTCAAAGTTAGTTTAGTGTACAAAGGCTAGCACAATGCTAAAGTTGGGCTAGCCAGGGGATTAAAGTGCTTGGTGTTTTACTGCATCACATGATCCGTCCTGAATTCCTTAGTGAGCTACAGTGGCTGATTCAGTGCATTTAATTCACACAGAGTTATATTAATATAATATAATAATAAAAGACCATTTAAATGTTCCTGCGAACAGCAGCTGATCAGGTGATGAAGACACTTTGACCTCATCATCTTCGTCGGCTTCCTCACCTGCGGAACTTGTCCCTCATCTTGTCCAGGTCGTCTCTGGTCCGGCTGAGCTCTGCCTCCATGTAGTGACGGCTGCCCTCAAACTCCGCCTCCATGGCCTCCATCTTGTGGGTGGAGAGTGACAGGCGGTGCCGCAGGTCCTCGTTCTGCTGCTGGAGGATTCTGGGTAAGGAGGTGGGACAGGAAGTGCTTTAGCCTTATTAGGGCGTTGGACACCTGGAGAGAAGAGACCAGACCCACTCACCTGATCCTGTCGGAGTCTGACAGCGCCTCCTGGAACCGAGCAGAAGCAGAATTAGACTCAACAAACCAACAATCCATCCTCAGACCCACGCTATCTGAACCACAGGCAGAGCCCCGGACCGCTCCGACACCGACTACTGCAGGGGGGCCCAAAGTGGGTCCTCAAGGCCCGGCATCCTGCATGTTCTATTTCCTTCCCTGGTGGTAGTAACAACCTCCTCAGCAGGTCAGTGTTCATCTTGGGCCTCTAATGAGCATCATTGGATCAAGGTGCGTTAAACCAGAGAGACAACTAAGACATGCAGGATGCCGACTGGGGCCGAATGGAGCCGGACGGGGCCGAATGGAGCCGAACGGGGCCGACTGGGGCAGAATGGGGCCGACTGGGGCAGAATGGGGCCGACTGGGGCAGAATGGGGCCATCCAGAACAAGACCCATACCAGTTAAATCCAGCAAACTGAAACCAGTCTGATTCCATTCTAAACCCTTTAGATCCAGTTTAATGAAACCAGCAGGAAACCAGTTGCCTTCCAGTGTCCTGTGAACCCGTTTCTGTTCATCCAGCTCCCAGCATGCACCCCATCATGACTATCAGCCGGTACTGACCCAACCCGCTCGGGGAACCAGGCTGTAGAAGAGGCCAGCAGCCAATCAGAGAGCAACGCTGGAGCAACCCAGGAACTGTCCCTCTGGAGAACGGACCCAGAAACCCAACAGAACCCGCTGAATCAGAACCTGATAATAATCACCATCATGTCCAGTCCTGGACCAACGAGGTGGACAAAACGAACGCACCTCAGATGCTGAGGGAGAGCAGGGAGGATGAAGGGCGGGACGTGAGGAAGAGGAGGCCGAGTGACCTCTGACCTACCTTGATGTGGGACAGCAGGGACAGATTGGACAGGGGGGGTCTGGGTCTCTGCCTGAACTCAGTCACCTTTCTAAGCTCCGCCCCCCGTGTGACGTCACCGTGCCCCGCCCTCTCCAGAGGCTGATTCCAGTTGTCGGGTCGCCGTATTGATGCCACCCAGCCGTCCCAGCGCCGGGTCCGGTCTGCGGACCGTCGGCTGGCGTCGGGGCAGCGGCCATGCTGGTGGGCGGGGCCTCTGAGGTCTGTGGGCGGCCTGCCGAGCTGTGCGAGGCGGGCGGGGCTTAAGACACGGCAGGTGATCTCGTCCAGGAAGCTGGAGAACCGGACCTTCTCCTCCAGAACCTGTATCCTCCAGTTCCAGGCGGTCCGGGTGGAGGAGGGCGGGGCCAGCGACTGCAGCGAGGGCGGCCCCCGATGCTCCGCCCCCCGCCGCCTGTCACCCAGCAGCTCCGCCGACCTTGACTTCCTGAGCGCGTCGTAGGTTGGCTCCGCCCCCACGGCGGCCGGCTGCTTCAGGATGCCTTTGGGGGCGGCAGCACGGGCAGGGGCAGCCCGCTGGGTCCGAGTGGGGCGGTGCCGCACCGGGGAGCGCTTCCTGGACGGGGCAGAGCCTTGGTGACCTCCCCTGCTCTGACTGGCGGTGTGGCGCTCAGGCCGGTGGGCGGAGCTCCTGAAGGGCGTCAGCGGCGGCACGTAGAGATCCAGGCTGGACAGGCTGGAGACGTCCGGCTCGCTGTCAGAGGGGGGCGGGGCCTGCTTACGGAGCTGGGGGGGCTGGGTTACCTGGCTGAAGTCGGGCCGCGGGGCGGGCGGCGGCGAGGCAGGGGTCAGGCCGTGGCGCGTCTCGCGGTGCTGCGGCGGAGCCTTGCGGTACGGCTTCCTGGCCGGGCCGGCGCTCGCCATCCTGCCTGCTGGTTCCGGTCGGGTCTGCTGTCCTGCCGGGACAACGGGTCAAAGGTCAGCTAGTCAGAGACACCACGACGACGCTCACCTGCCTGCCGACCGACCGACCGCTCGCCACGACTCCCCGACCCGACTGCCCATCGTCACGGCAACACTCTGCATCTGAGTGCAGGTCGATGCTCGCCCGCCCCTCACAGCTGAGTTAGAGTGTGTGTGTGTGTGTGTGTGTGTGTGTGTGTGTGTGCCGGCCTCAGGCCAATCATCGATCAGCTCTTGTTTCCAGAACAGGAAGTGCAGCTGGATCGATCCGGACCGGGCCGGCACAGAGCCACTCGGCTATCAGCAGGTGTGTGATGATGTCATACAGGTGACATCGTCATCCGGGTCGTCAGAACGGCCAGGAACATTTCACTGGAGGAGACAAACTTGGATTAGGACAACTGGACTCATACAGAACCACAGAACCAGAGGACAGGAAGGTCCAGACCAGACCGGTTCAGGTGATCCGGTCCAGTCCGGTTAACTGTGCTGCTGCGGGGATCAGAGCCGTAATCGTGACTTTCCGCTCCATTTAGTCCATCTGGGTCACGTGACCAGCAGCCAATCAGGGCGCATCGATCTGTGTGACCCTCGCCCGTCTGCCAGGACTTCTGGATTTCTGCTTCCTGATCTTCCTCCAGGCGTTTCTACTCACATTTCAGATCTACATATTGTTTCTAGACGTTTCTGGTTCTGGTGGTTTTTCATGAAGCGGATCAGAAAACATTCTGGTTGTTTTGTTCATTGTCATGTTTCTGGTTTTGGTTGGGATCTTTCCCAGATCCTTCTCCACTGACATGATTCAGATTTGGGGTTTTTTTGCTTATTTTCCAGAGCTGTTTCCAGATCATTTTCAGGTTTTAATCTAGAAGTTGGATCTGAATCATTAAAGATGTTTGTTCAGTCCACAGATATCTGGGAAAACAAAGATATTTCTGTGTTTTCATCCAGACCAAAACTCTGCTGAATAAAAATGTTTATAAATCTTCAGACTAAAGTGGAGATTTAAATAAACCGTCGATAAGCGCTGAGCGTTCCATTATCTTTATATTCTAATACGCTGTTTAAAAGGAATCCAACATGGCGCCTGTTTAGAAGCCATCTGACTGATAGACAGGGTTCAGCTTATCGCTACACTGCCCCCTGTGGGTGGGCGTGTTTATAGCAACGCTCAGGGCAGATCGGTTCATGGGGATGTAAACTTGAAGCCAATCAGGGCGTACAGCAGGATCAGCAGGTACAAATAATACCTGCCAAGTCGCTACCGTTTCCATAGCGACTTGTTTTAATATTCGCTGCTTCTCCAACAAAACAGAAACCAGTGTATTATAAGCCTGGTGGCTCTCCATGGTTTGCTAGCCCCCCCGCCAGGCTAAGCTTGTTTATGTTTTTAGGAAAATAATCATGAAAAAAAAAAAGAAAGGAAAGAAAATCGATTTTTTTTAGCGGGATTACAAGCGTCTCTGTTGCTCTGAGTGTTTCACTGGCGGAGCAGATTTATTCCTAAAAGATAAATTCCTAAAGCCAGGAGAGCAGACCAACACTCCGCTGGTGCCTCGCGCTGCCTCTGCTTGCTGCATGCCTTTCACTCAAACTGGACTCGGGTATGGATATTTACATCAACTCCCTGTGAGGAATTATGTTTCTTTGGAGAACTCCACATCAGGGTAAGAGTTTAAATCCACCATTAGCTCTGGTTGCACAGCTCTGTGTGAACCACAGGTGCTAAAAACAGCAGCACCTCTAACAGCTTCTGTGTTGGATTTAATCTGGGAGAGGGGGAGGAGTTTAACTGGCCAACCTAAAAACAATCAGCTATAATCCAGTTTATTAATTTGTATTAGTGGGCAAACAGCATAAACTCAAAGATTAAACTCACAGCATCAAATTGTTGCTATGATAACAAAACAAACTAACTATGAATATTGTTATTTGAAGTTTTACTAAGAAGAAAATTTAAATGTAAGATCCTTAAAATCTTACATTTAAATGAGGCTCCGCCGAACCCGAGATCGACTCGATAGAACCCAGATTAAGAACCGCTGCTCTAAATGAACACAACAGGAAGAGCTTTTATTTTGACACTTCCAGCAGGAAATGTCCTGTAACGTAGCAGCTAGCTTAGCAGCAAGAGGTCAGAGGTCAGTTACGTTTTTTGGTTCAAGACAAGTCAAGACTTGGGTCTGGATCCCAAAGAGGATTCTGCCTGTTCATCATCAAGTCACAGCCGTGTTCAATCTGAGTCGCTCTCCAGGTCATTCCCCAGGTTGTTCTCCAGTCGTTCTCCAGGTGCATTCTGGTTCTTACCTGAGTTGTGAACGGTTCCAGAAGAGACTTCATCCATAGAAAGGATCACACCTGGAACACAGAGCAACACTTTAAACCTTGACCTTTGACCTCCAGGTCCTGTAACAGGAAGCATCAAAACAGGACAGCTCGACACTTCCTGCCAATCACATGTGATTTCCTGTTGGAGGGTTTGAGGTTTTATTGTGTCCCAGTCCTCCACTTCCTGCTTTAGCCCCGCCCCTCTGCCAAACCGCATCCAGACTTTGGCTTAGTGAATTACCCAGAATTCATTGCTGCATGTGGCAAATCCTAAATGAAGCTTCCTCCTAAAGGAGGAAGTGTGGCTTCAATATTTAAGAATACCATGAACTGTAGTAAAATCTCTTTGGGTCATTTCACGTCTTTTGAGTATCTCTGTATTGAGGTAAAAGACCACAAACAAACTTTGACACTAACTTTATACAAAACTCCAACATATGTGGAAAATTTCTTTATGGACTTGAATGAGCTTATATCTCTCATATGCATTGATTACGATTTTCAACATTCATGTTGACCACCTGAAGACCGAGGGGCAAAAAAAAGCTCCTTAATGTATTAGAGAGTTTTGATCTAACACAACATGTCAAACAAGCAACACACACTGGACCTGGTTATCAGTAAGGGTGTGAATATTTCCAATGTCTCTGTAACTGATGTCGCCCTGTTGGATCACTTCCTGTTATCTTTGAATGTTCTTTATCCATTAACCCACTTGGACAAACAGCTACAATCACAAAACGTACTTTCACAGAAAACACAGCAGAAACATTTAATCAAATCTACTCTTCTTCCTCGTCCTTAATGACGTAGATAAGTTGGTAGATGATTTTCAGTGCAAACTTTCAGATATCATTGATTACATTGCACCCATTAAAGTGAAGGTTGTGACTGGTAGGAAGAAATCTCCATGGAGAAATGCACAAACAGTTCAATCTGCAAGACAACTCTGTCGTAGGGCCGAATGGAAATGGTGTAAAACTCAACTTCACGTTTATTATGACATCTATAAAGAAAGACTACGTAACTATCACACAACACTAAAACATGCAAGAGAGGCTTTCTTTACAGATGTCATAAACAAAAACATTATCAAAGCTGGAGCTTTATTTGTTACTGTTGACAGGGTCACAAACCCTCCTATGACATCACCACCTGAACTTCAATCTAATCCCAGCAACCATTTTACCAGCTTATTTTCAGAGAAATTTCAGAAAATCAGAAGTTTAATCTGAACATCCACTCTAAAGCCAGTACCAATACCAAACACAAACACAACAAGTACAGGAATAATGACCCAATTCCAACTACTTAATTATAAAACCCTAGAAGAAATGATAAGTCAGTGAAGCTCCAGTTCCGACCCTCACATTTCTTTAAGGAAGTCCTGCCTGTCATTAATGATCTGATCCGAATAGTAACTCATCGCTCTCTTCAAGTGTTTTCCCTTGGAAACAGCAGCTATTAAACCACTGATAAAATCACTACTGCAGAACTACAGGCCGACCTCTGACCTTTGGATGATACACAGCTCTACATTACAATGTCACCAGGTGACCTTTGACCCCATCCAATCACTGAACAGATGCATGTGTGGATGAGAGAAAACTTTCTGGACACAAACAAAACTGAAGTTATTATTGGACCTAAAGAGTTACAGATCTAGTCAATGCACAGCTTCAGTTATTACAACTAAAACCAGCAATCAACCCAAAACCTGGGAGTAGTGATGACCTCTGACCTGAACCTTCAGAGCCTTTATGCCCACATAAAGACAGTCACAAAGTCGGCCTTC